AAAAAATCGGTTTGTATGGGAGGTGCCACGCCCCCTTTTCCAATAACAACAATTTTTCTCCATGAGTATGCGATTGGTTTCATATATCTCCATACCATGTTCGAGTACTCTACCATCAACACTTCCAGAGATATGCAGTAGGAAAAATTCGGTTTGTATGGGAGGTGCCACGCCCCCTTTTCCAATAACCACAATTGTTCTCCATGAGTATGCGATTGGTTTTATATATCTCCATACCAAGTTAGAGTACTCTACCACGAACACTTCCAGAGATATAGTAATAATAATAGATTGGCGCTTACACAAATGTTAGTGTTTTGCCGAGCTTCTCCTCCGATTTGTGGCGTGCGCCTTTATGTTGTCACACAAAGCGGAGGGACCTACAGTTTTACGCCGACTCCGAACGGCGATTGTATTTTTATGAGAAGCAGTTTTTCATGGCAGAAATACACTCGGAGGTTTGCCATTGCCTGCCGAGGGACGACCGCTGCTAAGAAAAAACCTTTTTTCTATATTTTTTTGCGATGTTGCTTTGACCAGGGTTTGAACCCAGGCGTTGCGGAGTGGAAGCGCGCACTGCTTACCACTACACCACAGCGGCCGAGATATGCAGTATGATAAATTCGGTTTGTATGGAAGGTGCCACGCCCCCTTTTCCTATAATCACAATTTTTCTCCATAAGTATGCCATTGGTTTGATATATCTCCATGCCAAGTTAGAGTACTCTACCATGAACACTTCCAGAGATATGCAGTATAAAAAAAACGGTTTGTATGGGAGGTGCCACGCCCCCTTTCCCAATAACCACAATTTTTCTCCATGAGTATGCGATTGGTTTCATATATCTCCATACCAAGTAAGAGTACTCTACCATGAACACTTCCAGAGATATGCAGTATGAAATATTCGGTTTGTATGGGAGGTGCCACGCCCCCTGAACCTAGCGGTATGAAATATACTTTACATCCGATTCTCATACCTACCAAATATACACAAAAAATTTCATAAAGAGCGGTCCAGCCGTTTCGGAGGAGTTCGACCACTAACACCGTGACACGAGATTTTTATATATTAGATTTTAAATTTGAGTGCATCCAAAAAAACTTCTTATAATAATAAAATAAACTTATTAATTTATGCGTCTGCAATTTTTTTGGCGACTGTGTTGTGAATTTTCTTGCATACAAAAAATTATTGTGATATGTAGAGATGTAAAGAAAAGACAAAGAGAAGGCTAGGTGCCGACGGGTTTAAGATATTTTGGAAAACCGTATTTATGCTCTGATTTCTTTCAAATCCCTTAGTTGGCGCCTAAGTAAAAAAAAACTATATTCCACATACACTATATGTTTTATTCGTTTCAAAGTGATACTACAAAAAATTTTTTTCAATGGAAACTTTAGTAACGCAACGTCATGCAACGTCAACGTCAGATACTCGGGCTTTAAAAAAAGTCAGGAAAGATTTTTATATTTAAAAACTTGGGAAATTACTACGAAACAACTTATACAGATAGTCTTGCAAAATTCGCAGTCTTGCAATTTTCTAACCATATCGCACACCGTCTTCAAAAGAGCCACAACTCAAAATAATACGTTCGCCAAAAAATGCGAAAAGTTATTACGTAGCACATGCTAATCATACGGTTAGTTTTTTTTAACAAATTATAACCGAAATTTGCTCAAGCTTTTGCTGTTAGGTAAATAAAAGCTCTGTGTACATTTTTATCGCATAATTTCAAAAATGACAAATTTTGAGTAGTGACTCTTTGGAAGACGGTGTGCGATATACATATATAAATTTAGATTATATTCTCCGAATACTAATGGATGTACATATGTCCTGCGGGCAGGGCAGTCGAGAGAAATCTCGGGGCCCGGACTGATAAATCACGGTCCCCTATGCATAAATTGTATTAATTAAAAGAATGTGATCAATTGAGTATTTTCCATGAGGGGTTTCTTTAACGGATAGAGTCGGAAACAATTAGCACGAATCAGAATATATATATTGGCGATAAAAGCCTATAACGAAGTAGCAGTTTCTACCGGAAATATCGAACAATATTTGTTTCTATAATAAATTAAATTTTTTTTTATTAAAATTTTAATTATAAATATAAGATAAGCTGCCCGCCTATAGGTATCATAGGCCTTACCGTTTTTGAAAATTATTTTAATAAAATATGCGTATCAAAAAGTGAAGAAAGTCTAATAAATATATCGAGTTTTATAGTAGTATACTTATTTTTGATTACCCTTCAAAAATATCTGTCTGATCTTGTATTAAATTATATATTTATAAATATGTACCAAGAGTAATATACATTTCTTCTTTTGAATCTTAGCCTGCGGCGGAAATTTCACGGCGCGTTATGGGGTTATCAAAACCCCATCTTGGCCAAAACTTTACGACAACTCAATGGATTGTACTTGGACAATTAACGCTCCTATGGGTCGTAAAATTGAGCTTGCCATACAAAATTTTAGTGTGGAAACTACTTCTAAAAATTGCCACGATGACTATTTGGAAATACGGTAAGTACATTAATTAAGACTGGGTTGGAGAGTAATTTTATGTGGTCATACGTTAAAATAAGCTACATACATTTACCTACAGTGCTAAGTTCAAATTATTTCGAAATAAAAGCACAAATATTTTCGTGTATAAATTTTTGGAAATTTGGCCTTTAGTCCAACAAAGCAGAAATTGAACATTTTTGAAAAAAATACTCACCAAAATTTTAAACAGTTATTCAGAATATTTAGAAAAGTTTGAGGTATTAAAATTTATAGCCTATTAAATTGTAGATTGAAAAAATGCAAGTCTCAAGTGGCTAAAAATACCGTTGATTTTTTATAACTTTTTCCTGGCGGTGTCACTCATTTTCTTCTATACAAAGTATGCTCGACAATTTTTTATCCCTTTATCACTTTAGATGAAGATCCCTTATGATGATTCTTTTGTCCCTTCAAGGGCTCGATGTCAAAAACTACTTATGTATAAATGAGGTACAGTTTTAAAGTCTTTTAAATATTATTGAGGTTATGAATTATTGCTCCATTTTACCTTTTTACGCGCCAAAAAATTTAGAGTTGAAATTTGCAAAAACATCGATGTTGAGTGAAAAACATCGGTGTCAGCAGCTCATATAAAAACATCGATGCATCGATGTTTCCATCGATCAGCGTTGCCGTTATGTATATAATTTTCCATCGGAGTGCAATGAGCCAAAAAGTGGAGTGTTTTTGGGTTTTCCGTAGAGTCAAAATAAAAATGTTGACGAAGTATTCTTTTTAAATATAAAAAAAAAAAATATTTGTAATTTTGTTATTTTTTTTTAATATGGGTGGAGTTTTAAAAAAACTATATAAATCAAAGTTTCCAAATTTATACCAAATTAGGGACAGTTCAAAGAAATTTCATCAAAACTTTCAACTTTTTAATCTGTATGCAGTTTCATAGAGCATTCAATTTTCGTATAATGTTTTGCAAATTTGAAGTGGCTAAGTATTCGCGTTAGTCCCCTTTCAGACACGTCAAGTCTTGAAAGCAATTTTTTTCGCATTCTCTTTTGTGTTTTCTATTTGCTTCCACACGCGTCAACTTTAATTGAATTCAAGTCCTTGGTTCTTTAAATGGGAAGCAACGAAAAGATCAAAAGAGACAAGAAAACTTGAAACGAATTGACGGTACGGAGGTATCTGTACTCTTCCCCTCTCTTCTCACCTCCTTCGTCTACTAACGAGCAGACTTGAAAGCAAGACTTGACATGTCTGAAAGGGGACTTCAGTTGTAATATTTTTTTTTTGCCAGGAGAGATGGTTGCCCTGAAAATCAGATGGTTGCTTAAAACGATAATATTAGGTTCATTCCTGTACGCAACGCGGGATCCCGCGGGTGCCTAAAACAGCCCAGAAGTCATTCTCATACTCAGAAAATGGGTAATAGAGCGATCGCAAGTATTGGATCGCAAGTGTCTTCTTCTTCCTGCCCGAAACAGCTTGGACTTTTTCTCCGGGTAGAAATTGATAAAGTGGCAAATTGCATATCAGGTGTTTTGTGTTTACATGTATTTTCAATCGTTATATACTTTTTTATTAATACAATGAAATTTGGGAAACAAAAATTAAATTTTCAACTGTTTTCATTTAAGTGCCGGTAACAAAAACCGAAATGTGGTTTTTCGCGTTCGCGTACTTCTGGACATTGTTCCATTTTTGAGAGAAAATTGTTCGCTTATTCTTTAATAACCGGATCTGATCTGGGTTGTACGGGAAAGAACCTATTATGAAATGCCTGGCCTAGACAAGGTGAAGAAGGCAAAAACATGCCCTTTTACAGGGTTGAGTGTAAGAGCGTGGTTACCTACGAAGGTGTACGTAGCGTAGCGGAGAAGTGACAGCTGACAAGTTCTCCGTTTTTACGTCCGTGGGTAACTGCGCTTTAACATCAAACTCATTTTGCACCGTGGAACAACATTTTTTGAAAGAAACGAAATCACCATTATTTTTTTTATGATCATATTATTGTTGTTTTAAACAGTGGGTAAGGTATTTGCAAATAATAATTTTTTTGCAAACAGCTTACTTATAAACTTAGTAGGTAGGTATTCATTTTTATGTGATGGTAAATATTTAATTCTTATAATCTCAAAATCGGAGTATTTTTGCAAGAGAGGGAGTGACGTAGTGTTCGGCTTAGAAAAGGAGTGAAACACTCCGATCGGAGTAAAATCGGCAACGCTGCCATCGATGTTTCTCCAGCTCTTTTAAACGCGTGTAAATTTGATTACCGGCTTTTGTTAACAATTATTAACAATCCAATGATTTTCACTTTAAATAAAGAAGTATGTTTCAAACCCATTTATTTATTGTATTTGGTATTTAGGAGAGCTTTCCTAAAAAAAGCGTGTTTTTTTTACACGCATACGTAAGTATCTGCGCTTAAAATTGTGTGGAGCTCTAAGCGACAAACTTTATATGAGCTTACAATGTATATATGTTACCGGCCAAACCTAATCTTAGGACAAACTAGTTTTCCCTAGGCGAAACTAGATCAGAGGCGACAGTACTTTTGCGAAGAACACTTTTCCGCGTAGGCGGCCTGTAGTCGTACTTCAAAAAAATAACCCTCTTCAGTCCAACCCTAAGTACGCAGTCCACAATATTGCTGCGTCCAACTTGTTTCCGCATTGAACGGATATATTAGATCTACGTAGAACTAGGTTAGCCTAGAAAAAACTAGTTTGTCCTAAGATCGGGTTTGGCCGGTAACATATACATACTAGGGATGTTGCGAATGTGGAATTTTAGACATCAGCGGATGCGAATGCGGATGCGGGTGTCTAACAGCTAACATCCGCGGATGCAAATGCGAATGCGGATGTCAAGTATTTTTAAGAAACAATTAGGTAAGTAAATTAAGTTACTTAGGTAAATGAAAAAGTGGAAAACTTAGTAATTTTTAATAATGTTTATTTTATTTAGTACTTGAGTTTAAAGATTGGAACATTATATGAAATAAAAAGTATTGAGAATTGCATCGGGACCGAAAATGTCGGATATATACTCCTGACTTTCATCTTCACTTGAATAATCTAGCATAATGGCGAGATCGTTGTTTAAACAGTGGTAACAAACAAAACCATGTGTCTCAGGTTTTTCTAAAGCTTATTTAAAAGAATTCTTCATTCTCATTCCTTTGGCTGTTTCAGAATTTGGGGAGCCTGTAACGTCATCAGCGTTTTTTTTTAGTTTAGATTTTGTAATTGATTTTTAATCTTCTGCGACTGGTTTGAAAAATTTGTGCTTACAGCGAGCTAAATAGGTGGATATGGAAAATAAATTGTTATTTCGCAGGAATAAAAATTTTGAACGAAATTCTGTTTTCAAAGTAGTGGCTTTCAGCCGAATCGGTTCAGAATATTGTTATTTTTTTTTAAAACCCCGTTTTTATAAGCATTTGATTTATTGGAATCACGGATGATGAGGGTCTCAGATAGTTAGGTAATTCTTACCTAATTAAAAGTTAGACCTATAGCCTTTTCTCTATATAGCCAGACGTTGACCATTTCTGCTGGAAATCCATATTGATGGAGCTTAACTTTGGCTTTAAAAAGCAATGAAGAGAGACGTAGGGGAGTTTTACCACAGAGGTTTTTAGCCAAGGATCCAAAGTAAATCTATATGAAAAAAAATATTGCCCGACAAGTAAACAAAATTACTGTTTTTTAAATTTTTCCTAAAAATAAATTTCCCAAATGATTGAAACGAGTATATCGTTTTCTTAATTCGCAAAGGCCCTAACCAACACTTTTTTTCGAAACTGCATTTTTTACAGCTTTTGCTAGGATATTAAAATACAGCTTCACTAATTTTAAAATGTTAGTACCAAAAACAACAGAGTTATGCCACTTTTTAATATGCCCTATCCGTATGAATGATTTGATTTTTGTAATGTTTTTTGCTTCTCATGTAAAATAAACAATTTGCTGGTTAGGGCCTTTGTGAATTAAGGTGACGGTATGTAACATCAAAAGCAAATCAAAATGCAGGTATTTACACATAAAACAAAAAAATATTATTAAAAGGACTATGTTCTCTTTGACGTATGTCAAAGGTCAAGTAAAAGTGGGAAGAAATTTTTAACAAAATTGACCAGTTTTGTTAAAGAAATACTCCCACGACCAAAGGCAAAAAATATTGCCTGCAAATAGTCATTTTGTTTGCCAGATATACGTTTTATCTTTGCACTTGCATAACATTCGCATTCGCAAAAGCTTCGCATTGATAATTGCGAATGCGAATGTTAAAATTAATGCGGAAGCTCCGCGGTTGCGAATGCGAATACGAATATTCGCAACAGCCCTGATACATACATACATATTTATGTAAGCCTCTACCAGACTCGGTGCAATTATTGGCTTTAGTTTGCCTATGAAAGGTAATAAAGATGATTGAAATCAGACAAAAACCCTTTTTTCCGCGTGACGGTAGTTTTCAAACAGGCGAACAAAGACAAAATAATTGCAAGTTACCGCTACTTATGCACCATCCTCTTCTAAAATATATGCAAATTTGTATATGGGACGTTCCATACCATAACGGACGCGGTTCACGCTTCATGTGTTTGATTTGTTTCAAATTTTTAGGGTTGATGCATAAACATAAATAATAAATAAATATAAAATTTGAGCTTGATTAGTACATTTCTAAAAACTTTACAGCACAAAAACAAATCGATTTAATAGTTTTCCAAATATCTCGAGAAAAAAAATGTAAAATAAAATTACACATACACACCTCAAAATTCTCCATGAAAAAAAATATTTAAAAAAAATTATTTTCTTGAAAAACTTTTCACATACAAATTTTTTGATAAAAAAAGTAGTTTTTGGAAATATGCCATCTCAAAAAAAAAAAATTAAAAAAATCACAATGGTACACTGAGGGAAAAAAAGGTTTAGAATTCAAAAAAATGTGCCAAAAATAAAAAAATACTCATATGAAAGAGCACCAACTCAACTCGTTTTAAATTTGAGTATGTACGTTGTAAAATATGTCATTGTGAAGTGCACAGATGCTTTTTGTAATTAAGAAGAAAAACAAATTTTTAATTTTATGTTCTGTCTGATGGTAATTGAACTCGGACCCTCTTGGCAGCAACCAATTGTATCAAGCGTCTTTGCACACTCAGCTCATGTGTAATGTAAATATGTTTTCAAATATTCGGTTTGAATCAACATCACAGCGCGCGATTAGTGCATTATCCCAGCCAGCAAAAAATCCGAAAACCGATCTGAAAAAGGACAAAAAAGTGGATGAAGTGCGGATTTTTGTCCGTTTACTGATTCCATTTCCGGATACTTTGACGATCCGTTTTCCCACTAAAGTGTGCGGCAGAAACGTATGTACCCTGCAGTGAAAACCCAAACCAGTTAGAAAAAATACTAGTTCATAAACTAGTATGTGCCTACCAGTTCGACATTTTCGAAGAACTTAAGCGTTCAGCGACATCTGCCTTTAAATTGCCAAAGCCTAAAATAAAACGCAATTAATTGCTTCTCTTACAAATGTCGGCTGTGGCGTCACGTGAAGACTACTGGTTCTGGTTCTGGGATCGCAGGTTCGAGGCCGCTTGGATGTGGCTAAGATTTTTAAAGTTAGATCAATGTAAGTAGGAATAATTATTTCAATTTAAACATAAAGAACAAACTTAAAAATCTAGTTGCATTACAAAAAAAAGAAACAAATATATGGGAAGAAATACAAATACTTGTTCCATAAAAAAATAGATTAAATAAAAAAAAATATTTTTTTTTTTTAATTAAATTTAAGAATAACAAAAAAACCCTAAATAAAAAATATGAATAAAAGAAATATTATAAAAAAATAAAAAAAATGTCCCTGCGCCCGGGCTTGAACCTGGTACCTCAGGCATACCACGCGAGTGCTTTGCTCTGTCGGCCATTGCGAATGTTGGAGCACCGCGAGCAAAAAGGAAAGGAATTGGCAGACTATCTCATCAACTGGTATGATGCTACTAGTATTTCTACTAGAAGATGCTTATGCATAGCCTGACAATTGACATCTCGTAGGACATCGCAATGTTAAAAATACCAGTCGCTAACATTGAAAAAGGATAGAACATGGACTAGTTGGGCTGAAACACAAACTGGTAGAATTCTAGTTCACAACTAGTAGCTTTCCCTGCAGGGTACAGACAACAATATGTGAAACGGATACGTTTTCGGCTGTTTTTTTCTGAAATTAGTCTGATAGAATTTTTCGCTCAATACGCTTTCCTTCTGCCCTTCACAGATACTATTTCATGGTTCTAAAGAAATAAAATAAAATTAGGAAGCGCCTGACGGAATTCGAACCCGGCACATTCTGTAAGCTAACGAACAGCGGCACATTCCTCTGCACGCTCAGCCACTGCCGACTACGCAGGTATGCTTTCAAATGTTTAGCTTAAGCAAATAAAATACAATTATTGCTTTCAAATGACATCATCTTTCTCGAACGTTTTCCGGCTACGAAAATTGATGATAACTTTAGGAGTTTTTTGTATGCGTTTTCGGATACGGAAAATTAAACTAAACTGCACTGTCGGCAAAATTTACGTTTGTTTGCTGGCTGGGATGCCATACCATGTGTGTGTATGTGTGTATGTGTTGTCACCGCTGTGCATGCTTTGTATACATATACTTTCTTAATTACATATGAAAAAGCATCCGAGACGTTCAAAACGCCATCCGTGCAGTGAAAAATGCTTCATTTTAAAACGGGCGTATTTGAATTGAATATTTCCATTATACGTAGTGTATGTATAATGGAAAAATCCATTTTTTTATTACTTTTCACTTGATTTAGGGCCAAATTCACAGTGCGTAGTTAACCACTGATAAGAGTTTAACTATTGATTTTCATATTCACAACGCTCAGTTAACAAAAGTTTAAACCAGCATGCCCCCATAGTTAAACTCTTGTGAAATAAATTTTTTGTTTGTGGAACGAATTTCAAATTTGAATAGAAAAGTATTGATTTTAAGAATTTGTATATTTTCAGGCGATACGAATTTCCATAGCTAACTATGTGACTCTGAATATAAATTCATAATTAAACTCTTGTTGGTGGTTAAGTTAACAATGGTTTAACTAAGCACTGTAAATTCGGCCCTTAAATACCAACATTTTTAAACGGTAATCAAATAAAAAAAATTTCATTTTTACGCGTTTTTTTTCCTCAGTGTATCTCTGAGTATTGCGCAATATTTAAGTGTAGTATTATGGGGTGCACTCTACAATAATTTGAGTTATGAATTTTTTTTTACACCGAAGTTGAGTAAAATTAGCACATTACAAATTTACAAATTTTTTAAATTTTTTTTCGAATGTTTTTGAGTATACAGTCTTATATATTTTCATAGAGAATTTTGAGGTGTGTATGTGTAATTTTTTTCAAATTTTTTCCTCGCCCCGTTCTGGAGATATTTAGAAAAATATTAAATCGATTTGTTTTTATTTTTGTGCAGTAAAGTTTTTAAAAATGTATTAATCAAGTTCAAATTTCATATATATTTAATATTTATGTTTATGCATCAACCCTAAAAATTTGAAATAAATCAAACACATGAAGTGTGGACTCCGTCCGTTTTGGTATGGAACGCCCCATATGCAAATTTGCATATAACTCAGAAGAGGATGGTGAATAAGAAGCGGTAACTTTCAGTTATTTTGTCTTTGTTCGCCTGTTTTTCCATATAACACATGACCATTTTTTTATTTATATGAAAAGAAAACAGCAACACCCTCCACAAACAAGATTCTAAAAATCAACGGTAATTTTTAACGAATTGAAACTTGCACTTTCATATACTACAATTGAATGGGCTACAAAACTGCATACCCGAAAATTTTCTAAATATTCTAATTAAAAATTTGGAAATTTTGATGACAATTTTTTGAAGTTTGATTAGTTTTTTTGCAATTTGTGCAAGCTCTTAAACTTTTATTATTGTGGTTTCTGTTATAGATTGAGTTATATTTTTAATGAAAATTATTGAAAATAAATAAATAAACATAATTTGCAAACAATATGATTTTGAATTTCGTTGCTAATTACATACATACATATGCACATATGTATGTATGCATATGTACATATGTATGTATGTATGTGCGTATTTTCAATTTGACTGTCATATATGCCGTAACGCTTTTCTTTTAATAGAAATGGTGGGAGTGAAACATCACCTTTAATTGGTAAATACTGTGGAAGTAGTATACCAGCACGCGTACCATCCTTTGCAAACCATCTTTATTTGCATTTTGTGTCTGACTCGCGCATCTCCGACGCAGGATTTTACATTATATGGCAGCAAACGGAGACGGGTTGTGGAGGTAAACTTAACTCGTACCAGGGTTCAATACATTCGCCACATAATGATGATGTTAGCGCCGGCACAGTATCGTGTGATTGGCAAATAACGGTTTCTCACGGTTCTACAATTAAAATTAATATTACAAGCTTTGAGGAGCGCTCGTATTTATGCGGTCAGAATTTTCTAAAGGTATATGACGGAATAACCGTTAACAGTCCTCAAATTGATTTCACGTGTGGGAACAACAAAAATAAAGTTCAACTAAAAACTTCAGCAAATCAGGCTTTAATAATTTATAATTTCGCCGATAACGAAGTTGAAAGTGGATTGCGGTTCTTCATCGATTACGAGAGCAATTGTAATGTCAAGCTTGATAACTTACGTGGTGTGATTGAGTCGCCGAACTTCCCTGATAATTACCCTCCAAATCTGAATTGTTTCTGGGATATACAAAGCGGGAAAAAAAACAAATTTCAAATAATATTTTCCCATTTGGACATTGAAATTCGAGACCAATCTTGCGATTTTGACTATTTGGATATCTTTGATTTACAAAACGACGACGTACTCTCCAAACAGCACTTATGTTCGAATCCCCGCAAAGCTATAATTACGGAAGGTAATCGATTCCAAATAAAATTTGTCACCGATTACTCTGAACATGCAAAGGGGTTTCGCCTGGAATATAAGAGGATTGGTTGTGGGGAACATTTATCGGGAAATTATGGCGTTATAAAGACGCCTAATGCCCCTTACAGCATTGACATGAGTTGTGATTGGTACATCGAGGTTGCAGCTGGCAAAAAAGTTGTCCTTAACTTTGATGATATTCACATCGAATCAGCACGAGATGACTGCACTGAGGATGGTATTATTGTTTCAGAGGAAAAAAATTCTACCAATTATCTTCTAAGGGAGTGTCGAATAGATCAAGTGCCTGTTACCATTACATCACAAGCGAATCACTTATACGTTCATTTTTATACAAGTAGTTTTCGCTCAAGAAAATATATTTCCGGAACTTATAATGCACGAGACTCCTCTTGTGGTGGCATTTTCCGTGGCAACAGTGGCCATATATCATATCCGCCGCATGTCGATGCATCTAGTCTCAATTTGGAGTGTGTATGGCTAATCAATGTTGAGAGTAGTTACGCAATGAATATAGTATTCGAGCACTTCAATATAAGCTGCGATGATACATTTTTGGGGTTTTTCAAAGTGATTGACGATTCCGAGGAACTCATAGAAAAGACTTGTGGCGATACATTGCCAACAAGTAGAATGATTCAGGGCAATAGTCTGAAAGTTATATACAAAAGGAGCGCCGCTGGATGGGGATCATTTTCATTTAAATTCAAAAAGGTGGGTGATATTTATTGATATGTTATTGAAATTAAAATTTGAACCGCTGGATTGTGATCGCTTTGTTGTTGGGATCCAACGTAACTAGCAAGCTCAGCCAGTCAAACGTAGTTCTTATAGTTTTGCAAGATGTTTTAAAAAACGATAAAATAAGGGTATTCACATCGATCTCGTTAGTTTGTTACTTGGCAATTTTAGTAGTAGCGAAAACCGAAAATATCAGATATAGAGTATCGATATCTATTTGTATCGATATTTTTTGTACGAACGGAGTTACATTTTATTTTTTTATGTAATATGTTAATCATCCTCTAGAAATCCTAAACTCCGAATAAAATAACAGTTAGCAATGCAGAAACTGAAAGTAATTAAAATAACATTACACAGCAAAACTATCAGAGAACTATCGATGGGGCTATCGATAGTATCGATGGTTTCATATTGCCGCCACTATCGAATTTTTCTTAGCACTATCGATAGTTGTATATTTTGTTCACACTTTTAGAGTTGAACTATAAAAGATACATATAATATGTTTTTGTTATAAAATGTGTTATTGAAATCTGCGATATCTTTGTGTTTTACACAAGTTCTATTTTGTGAACTTTTTGTTTATACAAATAATCTTTATGGTATTTATTGTTACGAAATAGGCATATTTTGACACAACTTTATCTCCTTTCCCATACCTTTACCGATCATATTATGAGCCAAAACCGGACAGGTAGCCCATTTAGCAGAACATGCATACAACTGAAGATCTGTTCAGATCTGAGTCAAGCGAGAACCCGTTTAAAGTTTCATTTGACAATGTGTTTTCACTTATTTGACGAGAAAGGCCATTTAATTTGACAAAGTGAAAACAAGTTTTCGATAGTATTTATTTATTCTGTTATTAGTCAATGAAAACAAAAAATTCTTACTGACTAAGACGACTAACTTAAGTTACTTAAAATGATTGCTTAAACTTAAAGTTACCAGGCCTCTTGGAAGCGAGATATCCAAAGAATAACATTGATTTAATTCAATTAAATTTCTGATCAATGGCGCATTAAGAGAATAATACGACTTAACAATTGGAATGAAAAATATATCCACATGCCGAAGACTGCGTGATGGCACATTGAAGCCAATTCTGCTTAAAAGCTCAGGACAGTCGACATAACCTCCTAAAATGTTAGCCACGAAGGTACCTGACAGAAACGCCCTTCTACTAGACAAAGACTTTAAGTCCAGTAGCATACAACGCGAAAGATATGACGGAATTGGTTCCGTAAATTTCATTGAGGATAGTGCAAAACGTATAAATGTTTTCTGGATACGCTCTATTCTATTTACGTAGGTAGCATGATAAGGTCTCCAGACAAAAGCAGCATATTCCAGTCGTGATCTTACGAAAGCAGTGTAGAGCGTTTTATAAGTATAAGGATCCGAGAAGCAGGAGCAATTACGCTGAACAAAAGCAAGCATAGATAATGATTTAGAAACTATGTGGTCAATGTGAGTAGAAAATGCAAATTTTATATCAAAAAACACTCCCAGGTCCTTAACTCTGTCTACAGTTCTCAATTTGCAGTCAGCAATTTGATAAGAGTTTCGCGAAATTAAAAGCTTTTTGGAAAAAGTTATGTGTGTGTATAAGTTTAGATTATCTATATCCAACTGAAGGGCGATTGCATCTTGTTTATATTTTATTCATGAATAGATCTTCAAATCGTCGGCGTATAACAAAAATTTGGCAAAACAGAAACATGAACTAATGTCATTGATGAAGAGCACAAATAGCAAAGGCGCCAATATACTACCCTGTGGAACCCCAGAGCTTGCAGTGAAAGATTGGGAAACCGAGTTGTCAAGAACAACAGTACACACTCTGTTGCATAAATAAGATTCAATCCATGTAAGGAAAGTTGAATGGAAACCCAAAGTAGCCATTTTGGAAATTAGAATTTTATGGGGCACCCTGTCAAAGGCCTTTGCAAAATCTGTGTATATAGTATCCACTTCATAGCCAGATTTAAAGGCTGCATGACAATCATCAACAAATAACGCCAAATTGGTGACGGAAGATCTACCTTGAACGAAACCATGTTGGTTCGGAATGATAATATTACGAACAGCGAAAACTAATTTAGCTTTCGCAATGTACTCAAAAAGCTTCGCAATTGAGGTTAGTTTCGAAATTGGTCGATAATTCCCAACATCATTTTTATTACCGTCTTTAAAAATTGGCGTTATTGTTGCCTTTTTCCAGGCATCAATAAATACACCAGAAGTCCGGCGTATTGGTTCAACAAGAGATCCACACTTTTTAAGTAAAATAACTGAAAACCCGTCAGCATCAATTTTCGTAGACTGTTTTAAAGCCAAGATACCTTCTTCAACATCCTTAGATGTGAGAGAGACTGTCCCAAAGGAGAGACATGTGTTCGAGCAATGAGAATCTACATAATCAAATGCGTGAGACTGAACAACGAAATTAGAGCTAAAATACTCAGCAAATAAGTTTGCAGCTTCCTCAACTGATGTCGCTGACCGATTCTTAAAGAATACTGACGTCGGAATACCAGAACAAGAATTTTTTTGCTTAATAAAGTTCCAAAAGGATTTAGGATTACTTTTAATGATAAACTCATAATTACCAATATATGATCTATACAACTTCTTGTCCAGTTTATTAAAACTATCCAATAAGTTTTATAAATGGCAAAATAATACGGGCTATTTGTAGCCTTATATTTCTTATAAGACCTATTTTTAAGGTTTAGCAAATGCTTAACCCTCTAACCGGTAAGAGTGCCCCAAGGCAAGGATCACAAAAATCACTTTTGCATATGAAAATGTAATTTTTCATTACGCAAGTGAGTTCAACGCTCTTGATCATATGTTTGCTGATATTTCTTTCTCAAATTAGAATGTAATCCGACAGGCCGTTAGTCCTCTGTAATCCGTTTTTTGCGAACAGGTGGAGGAGAAGGTCGTGTTTTCGTATTAAAAAATTTCTGATTTTCAGCATCGAAAATTTTTATTTTGGAGAAGTTCTTTTAACTCAAGAATTTTATTCCCGTAAAGTTTTAGTCATAAGCTTCACGATTTTATATCTACGGTGTTGAAAATAGTTGGATTTTATGTTCTATAGCAAAAAATCTAAGTGTGTCTCAAGGCACTCTTGTCGTTCGGCGCGATTTTTTTTACGCGTCGCATTTTTCCTTTGCGTTTATGGTAATTTTTACCGGTAAGGCAAATACTTTTTATAAATTGTTCACCTGTTTTTCATAAAGTGTCTAAATAACAATATATGCAAATCGTTACATGATGTCGCGTGAAAAATTGTCGAAGTTATCAGCCGAAGAAATTCTTGTATTTATGGATTCTGTGGAGACTAAGTAGTAGTATAGCCGAAGCTACAGGTCCAGCAGTTGTACCAACCAATGGTGGTTTGATTGGAAGTAAGAGTTTCTCTCACATCTTTGGAAAATTGATTTTACGTACTGATCGTATGGATTTTTTATTGCTAGTACTGAATCAATAAACAGAGATTCTGCTGAACTCAGCAAAGTCATCTGGCGCAAAACAAACCTTAAACTTCCTATAAATGAGGTGGCATTTCGTGGCTTACCTGAGCACACAAAAATGCTCTCAAGACCGGTGCAATAATATCTATATATTTTTTCCCTAAAGAAATAATTGAAATGATTGTTTAAGAGACGAAGCGGTATGCTCTAACTTAATCAGGATATAAACTTGAGATTCAATGTGAATGTCGATGATATCTGCCAGTACATTGGCATTCATTTATACATTCGAACCCATTCGCAAAACGATGCCATTGAAACGGTTTGAAGTCATAAAAAGATTCCCGTCGTTCCGAGATGGGGATGGACGCAATGACCGCCTTTTTTATCCGATATACTGGTCTTGTGAGCTACACTCAAACGCGTTCGGTTGGTGGCCCATCTTCAACAAGTCAACCTTCTACTCCACAAGAGGAATCGCAACCTGCTGCTCTGAGTGTTGGCAGAAAATCTGTATATCATGTTGATGACGTTCGTTTCAATGGTAACAATCAACTTCCTAAATGGCTCGAGAAAGTGGAAAGAATGGTGCAAATTTTGTAAAAAGTCGCAAACTCAATAGGGGTATTCTCGAAGTCTTGCACGATGCACGGATTGCACGAAATGCAAAAATACTATTCCAAATTTCGAAGAGTACGAGAACACCCCATTGCAAAGTGGTAGCATGCATGGGGAGCAAGCAGCGAAATTATGTATCAAATACAATAACAAGAGACAGCAAAAAAAAATTAAGTGAGCGAGATGAGAGGAATGAGAGAAATATGTAGCAATTCCAACAACAAAACAACTAGCACGGGGTCGCTATTATCTTGCTATGCTATTTTGCAAAATATATACATGGGATTCGACGTTGCATATTTTGCAGCGATAGGAAATGTTGTTTCCCATGAATTTTCTTGTTGTGTGTTTGCAATTTATGCAATCCGTGCTACGTGCAATGGCTTTGCAAGATTTGGAGAATACCCCTAATGTATTTGCGAAGTATGCAATTTATATTTTTTGATCTGCGACAAAAAATTGCTTTTTGGAATAGCACTCAAAAAAGTAACACATTTTTCTAGATTCCTTTGCACTGCTAAACTTTTTGGAATAAAACCGTTGGTACTTAATAAAATTTCTATCTGTTCATATATTTTGCTTTAACCGATATGAGTGCCTGGAGGCACTGTTTCGTTTATCTCACCTGGAAGTCAAACGAAGCGACAAAATGGTATATAGATGACAACATTGAGTTTATCATGCCCAAGTTATGCCAGAAAAAAATTCCCAACCATTTCTGATCACTATTTTAAAGTTGCCGGTTTGAGGGTTAAGCTCTTTTGTGTACCAAGGCTGCTTATAGATTTTAGGTGAATATGCAGGAATATATTTCTTACGAAGACCATACACTTTAGCTTTAAAAATATCAAAGCACCTTTCTGTGTC